GCTTCCGCAAGACGAAGGGCAGCTGTGCCAGAACGCAGCATATCCTAGGTACGCCTCTTGTCGGGCTTTTGCAGGAGCATTTCTTTGCTTATTGTGCCCTTTGATCTCTTCAACAACCAGCATTGCTGCTTGAAGCCACTTGGTCCACACTGGCCTCCATTTCCAAGGGACTGCTAAAGCGTGGCTAAAATCCGTAAGAAGGAAATCATCACCACGCAGCAGGACTGCCCCGCACCTAACATCAGGGCCGTAAAGGGGGCCATCTCCTTCCCAGCAGCTCTGTAAACACCAGCAATCGCAGCACCTGTAAAGGGGGGGGGCGGGGAGAGAATATGGTATTCACAGCCCAGTTACTCTCTCCCATTGTCTTTCCGTTCCCACACAAGAGCAACAAAAAGAAAGCCTACGGATCAACTTCCACGGACATTTCTGATTATTTCAGCCATGAAACTGGCACACTGGATCAGACTGATGGTCTGTCTGGTTTAGCACTTTTGACAGCAGCTAACGAGAAGCGGATTGCCCAGGCTAGACCAAGCTTGTCAGATGTCAGAAGCTAATCAGGATCAGCCCTGGTTAGTACTTGGACGGGAGACCCACCAAGGAAGTCCAGCGTTGCTATGCAGAAGCAGGCAATCCCATTTCGTTCCCTGAAAACCCCATGGTCTTGGGGTCGCTAAAAGTCAGCTGTGACCTGTTGGCACTTTACACCACCTACAAGCTGCACAAGACTGCATTTGGTGCAAAAGGCAGCAGGACTGCTGTCAACAGCTGGCTGAGGGGAACATGCCTCGCCTGTTTTGAAACAGCTACATTGGCTGCCAGTTTGTTTTGAGCTCGGTTCATGATGTTGGTTATGACTTTTAAAGCCTTTCATGCCCTGGAAGGTTGAAAGCACCATCTTCTCCAATGTACATCTGTGCCCCACCTACAGTCTTCGGGTCACCACCTCCTGTCTGTTTCTCCACTTAAGGTAGCTTGCCTACCTACTTGCAATCCACTGCGCCCTGCTGTAGCTCCCACCCCATGGAACAAGGGCTTCCTGTGGAGGCGAAGGTGGCAGTATCTTTAGGTTTTCTTTAGGAGGCACTGAAAGGCCGTTTTATT